GAGAGAAAAAGATAAGAGAGAGCAGAGAAAAAGCAGAGAGAGAAGAGAGAGAAAGCAGAGAGAGAGAAGAGAGAGAGAAAGAGAAGAGAGAGAGAGAAAAGAAAGAGAAGAGAGAGAGACAGGATGAAGAGGGAGAGAAGAGAGAAAAAGAAAAGAAGAGAGCAGAGAGAAAAGAGAAAGAAGAGAAAGCAGAGAGAGAAAAGGGACAGAGAGAAGAGAGAAGAGAGAAAAAGAGAGAGAAGAGATTGAGAGAGGAAAGAGAGAGAGAGAGAGAGAGAGAGAGAGAAAGCAGAGAGAGAGAAGAGATACAGAATGAAGAGAGAGAGAAGAGAGAGGAGAAAAGACAGCAGAGAGAAAAGAAAGAGAAGAGAAAGCAGAGAGAGAGAGAGAAGAGAAGAGAGAGCGCACACACACACACACACACAGAGTCAGACCTACCTTTCTACCCAGTTCTTGTAGCTGGGGATATCCTTGGCATAAAGCAGTTTATTGGACGGGGAATCTTTGCCCAAACGATGCTCTGAGGTTGAACAGGAATCCATGAAGGTTTGTGCGACCACCGATAAGCAGGCATCTGTGATGCTGTTCTTGTGAATGTCGAAGACAAACTGCGGATTTTTGATCATGTTCACCCAAAACCTCAAGGGCAAGCTGAAGTCAAAAGACAGAAGACAAGATGTGGAGGTGTTATTATGTTTAAAACTCAAATACGAGTCGTCCTTGACTTACCACCACAGTTAGAAATGGAACTTCCATCCCTAAACTGATGGGACTGCTGAACGAGTCAATTCCCAATTTTACCACCTCTTCTGCCCGGGTTGTTAACTGAGTCACCACGGTGGTTAAGCTTGTTACAGGAATGTGGCTTTCCCCATTGATTGGCTCATGGGTCATAAGTGTGGGGAAACGGTCATAAATCCCTTTCTTCCGTGCCGTTGTAACTTTGAAAAGTGCTACTAAAGGAATACTTATCAGTCGAGGAATTCCTACAACTGGAGGCCAAAGGAGAAGGAAACAGGAGAGGATGAGATGATTAGATCGACACAACAAACATGAATTTGGGCAAACTTGGGGAGACAGTGGAAGACGGGGGTCCTAGCGTGCTGTGGTCCGTGGGATCACGAGGGGTTGGACACAACTTAGCGACTGAACAACAATCACAAAGCCATGTAACACTGCGATTTGGATCACCCTTCCCTAGACACTGTCCATAATGTTAAAACAGCTTTCCATCATATTGGCTGTGAGCGAGACAACTTGGAAGCCATCACAACTTGGAATACTGCATCCAGTTTTGGTCATCACTTTACAAAAAAAAAAAAGATGTTGAGACTTTGGAAAAATGGACTTATTCATTTATTCAAATGGAGTTTGGAGAAGTGCAGAGAAGAGCAACTCAGAGGATCAAAGACCTGGAGACTAAAACATACGAAGAACGGTGGCAGGAATTGGTCAAACGTAGAGAAGGACGAGGGGGGGGACCATGATAGCAGTGTTCCAACATTTGAGGGGCTGCCAGAAAGAAAAGGGGGTCCACTTATTTTCCAAAGCACCCGAAGGCAGGAGAAGAATCAACGGATGGAAACTCATCAAGGAGAGAAGCAACCTGGAACTAAGGAGAAACTTCCTAATAGTGAGACAATTAACCAGTGGAACTGCTTGCCTCCAGAAGTTGTGGGTGCTTCATGACTGGGGGTTTTTAAGAAGAGACTGGACAGCCATGGTATAGGGTCTCCTGCTTGAGCAGGGGGTTGGACTAGAAGACCTCCGAGGTCCCTTCCAGCTCTGATTATACATCTGGAGGGCACCACCTTGGAGAAGTTCACAGTGATATTTCTAGATCACCTCTAGGCAGATGTTTTGACTGAGCGGACAAAAAACATAGCTCAAAAGGATTCCTCCTTCATCCTTCATCCTCACCCACCTTCCCAAGTGTTAACGCCCGCCATTGTTTTAATCCAAGAGAAATGTTCCCCAATAACCCAAAGAGAAACGTTCTCCAGCTCCATCCCTTCTAAGACGTTTCTTGGCTATTTTATTAATGTCCTCGTGATTCTCTGTTTCTGATTTCGCTGAATCCCTGGGCGTTGCTCTCTTTGCAGCGAGGAGCGGGCGATAAGTCAAGAAAACATTGTGAAGAAAGAAGTTGGGGAAACGGACATGGAATTAATTGAATCTGCTCAAAACCATGTCTCCGTTCCTTTAATCCCGCTTTCAACGCCCACCCCTTTCCCCCCCTCTTCAAAGAAGCCCCCCCCAGTGGCTTCAATCAGCCTTAAATGAGTGCCACAGATGATGTTAATAATATGCTAATGTTTTATTAGTTCCAAGTTTCTTTCTTTCTTTCTTTCTTTCTTTCTTTCTTTCTTTCTTTCTTTCTTTCTCCTTCCTTCCTTTTTCCTTCCTTCCTTCTTTTTTCTTCCTTCCTTCCTTCTCCTTCCTTCCTTCCTTCCTTCCTTTCTTTCTTTCTTCCTTCCTTTTTTCTTCCTTCCTTCCTTCCTCCTTCCTTCCTTTCTTTCTTCCTTTCTTTTTTTCTTTCTTTCTTCCTTCCTTCCTCCTTCCTTCCTTCCTCCTTCCTTTTTTCTTTCTTCCTTCCTTCCTTCCTTCCTTCCTTTCTTTTTCTTCCTTCCTTCCTTCTTCCTTCCTTTTTTTCAAAGAAAGAAAAAGAAAGAAAGAAAGAAAGAAAGAAAGAAAAAGAAAGAAAGAAAGAAAGAAAGAAGGAAGGAAGGAAGGAAGGAAGGAAGAAGGAAGGAAAAAAGAAGGAAGGAAGGAAGGAAGGAAGGAAGGAAGGAAGGAAGGAGAAAGAAAGAAGGAAGGTTCCTTCCTTCCTTCCTCCTTCCTTCCTTCCTTCCTTCCTTCCTTCCTTCCTTCTTTCTTTCTTTCTTTCTTTCTTTCTTTCTTTCTTTCTTCCCTCCTTCCCTTCCCCTCTCTTTGCTCTCCCTCCCTCCAAACTTTCCTTTAAGCTTTAAGAGCCTTCTCCAAACGGCCTTCTCTTTCCTGGTCCTGCTGGGAGGGCAGGCGTGCCAGGCTCTTTGGAAGCACTCACCAATTGCTCTTCCAGGTGTGCCGCACATGAGGATCGTGGATGTTGTGCTTATCGGCTTGCTCATCCAGGAAGTCAAACATGTACTTGATGGCCAGGGGCAGCGCACTGCCCCGATGTGCGGTGCTGAAGATCGTCTCGAAGAGGTCGTCCACGAACTTCTGTAAAGTGCCCTTGATAACCCAGAAAACGAAACATTACAATCAGAACGATTTAGGATTCCAAGCTTTGAAATAATTAAAACCAACATTAGAAACATTTCGCAAGGGGAACGCCGTGAAGAGGATTGTCTTCCAGTACTTGAGGGGCTGCCCCAAAGAAGAGGGAGTCAAGCTATTCTCCAAAGCCCCTGAAGGCAGGACAAGAAGCAACGGATGGAAACTAATCAAGGAGAGAGAAGTTAATCAGTGGAACAACCTGCCTCCAGAGGTTGTGGGTACTCCATTGCTGGAGGTTTTTAAGTAGAAATTGGGCAGCCACTTGTCTGAAACGGTGTAGGGCAATGGTGGCGAAACTACGGCACGGGTGCCAGAGGTGGCACTCAGAGCCCTCTCTGTGGGCACGCCTGCCATTGCCCCAGTCCTAGGCCTTCAGCTGGGTTTTATAAAACCTTTTCGCTATAGGACTCCACCGCCGTGTACAAAAAAAAAAAAAAAGGTCCAATCAGTCAATTTCAACTTCTCGCGGGAAAAAAAAGATCTTGCAAAGTTGGAATTGATTGATTGAACGTTTTAGTCCCAGCCAGTCTGCCGTTACCACCGCAGCCATGCCCTCCCAATGGGCCACACCCAGCCAATGGGCCACACCCACCCGGCACCCGAGATGCATAAGTGGGTTTTGGGTTGCAGTTTGGGCACTCGGTCTCTACAAGGTTCGCCATCACTGGTGTAGGGTCTCCTGCTTGAGCTGGGGATTGGACTAGAAGACCTCCAAGGTCCCTTCCAACTCCGTTATTCTCTTAATATCATCCTGATCAAGCACTAAGGGAACTAGATATGATTGTCTAACGAAGAGAAGCACTAGGGGTGACATGATAGCAGTCTTCCGATATCTCAGGGGCTGCCCCAAAGAAGAGGGAGTCAAGCTATTCTCCAAAGCACCTGAAGGCAGGACAAGAAGCAACGGATGGAGACTAACCGAGGAGAGAAGCAACCTGGAACTAAGGAGAAATTTCCTGACAGTGAGGACAATTAACCAGTGGAACAGAAGTTGTGGGTGCTCCAACACTGGAGGTTTTTAAGAAAAGATTGCATCAGCCATTTGTCCAGAATGGCACTATAGGGTCTCCTGCTTGAGCAGGAGGTTGGACTAGAGGACCTCCAAGGTCCCTTCAAATCTGTGATTCTATGTTCTCTGGGCCTGTGGTGCGAAACAGGCCATCCCAGGAAATTACCCCAGGCTCTCGTTTCGTTCAGGTCTTGCAAAAGAACACAAAATGACCCACAACCCAAGGCAAACGTATCTCAGCTGAATTATTGAGACGAAATATAAGCCAAGATGGCATTCACAGGCCCCATCAGGGGTAGGGCAAGGTCAGCACGGGGCGGGGGTGGGTGGGAGAAAAAGGGGGCCAGCACCCCCACAAAGGGACCCCCCCCATTTGTCTCTGGGAAATCCCTTCCCTTCCCCCTCCCTGCACCGGTCGCCCGGTTTTGCTCTGCTGGGTTTGGCGCTTGGAAAGTGTCAGCAAAATCAACGCTGCATAAATCGCCCAGCGTCGTCGTTGAGCGGTGAGCAAGGAAAAGATGGGAGGCGCTGAGTGTTAAACCACCTTGGCGGTATTCCCTGGGCCGAAAGTCAACAACAGAGAATGATAAAGCTGTCACACACAAATCATCTCCCCTGAAGCCCTGGGCTTGGGTGACAGCCGAGAGCTTCCGTCCTCTCCAGAACTTCAGCTGAGGTCAACACCTCCGTGGAGGAGAGATGGTTTCCTTGTCAAGCCACCTATTTGGGAGTCCTTCTCTCTCTCTCTCTCTCTTTTTCTTTCTCTTTCTTTTGTATCTCTGTCTCTTTCTCTTTCTCTCTCTCTTTCTGTTTCTCTTTCTCTCTCCCCCTTTCTTTTGTATCTGTCTTTTTCTCTTTCTCTCTTTCTCTTTCTCTGTCTCTGTCTCTCTGTCTCTGTCTCTCTCTTCTTTCTCTTTCTTTTGTATCTCTGTCTCTTTCTGTTTCTCTCTCTGTGTCTCTTTCTCTATCTCTTTCTTTCTTTCTCTCTTTCTCAATTATCAAAATGCAGGCATTATCCAATGCACACTTCACTTTGCATGGTGTGCGTCTCTCTCTCTCTCTCTCTTTCTCCCTCCCTCCCTTCCTCTTTTTTTCTTTTTTTCTTTCTTTCTTTTGTATCTCTGTTTCTTTCTGTTTCTCTCTGTTTTTCTCTGTCTCTTTCTGTCTCTCTCTTTCTTTCTTTTACTCTTTTGCTCTCCCCCTCTCTTTCTTTTGTATCTATCTTTTTCTCTTTCTCTCTTTCTCTTTTTTTCTCTTTCTGTCTCTCTGTCTCTCCCTCCCTCTCCCTCTCTCCCCCTTCCTCTTTCTTCCTCTTTCTTTTGTATCTGTCTCTTTCTGTTTCTCTCTGTCTCTTTCTGTTTCTCTGTCTCTGTCTTTCTTTCTTTCTCTCTCTTTCTCTCTTTTACTTTGTCTCTCCCCCTCTTTCTTTCTTTTACTTTCTCTCTCCCCCTCTTTCTTTCTGTTTCTTTTGTATCTCTGTCTCTTTTTGTTTCTCTCTGTCTCTTTCTGTCTCTTTCTGTCTCTTTCTTTCTTTCTTTCTTTCTTTCTTTCTTTCTTTCTTTCTTTCTTTCTTTCTTTCTTTCTTTCTTTCTTTCTCTCTTTTACTCTCCCCCTCTCTTTCTTTTGTATCTGTCTTTTTCTCTTTCTCTTTTTTCTCTGTCTCTCTGTCTCTCCCTCCCTCTCCCTCTCCCTCTCTCCCCCTTCCTCTTCTTTCTCCTCCTCCTCCTCCTCCTCCTCCTCCTCCTCCTCTTCTTCTTCTTCATTTCCTCCCCCCCAAACCCCACTCTTCTAGCACTGATGATGTTACCTAGTTGGGTCATGAAACGTCTGCAAGAAAACAAGAAGCTCAGAGAGCACCAAGGACCCCACAGTCCTCCCCCTCCCTCTCCTCCTCTACACAACCCCCCCTTCTAGCACTGATGATGTTACCTAGTTGAGTGATGAAACGTCTGCAAGAGAACCACCCAGCTCAGAGAGCACCCGGGACCCCACAATTCAACCCTGAGCTACAAAGATTCTCTTTTATTGGCACAATTCCATTTTTTTTCTGTCCCCCCCACCCACCTTCCCTTTTGGGGTCCAGGCCCTTCTTTCCAGCCTCACCACCTACCTTGGTGGCTAGCAGCCTTGTCAGGTAGATTTCAGATACCATCTTGCTCCCCCGATCCCCTTCTTTCTGATCGCCATGCTCGTGGTTCTTCACTAAATGCCACATCTTGACACCACTTTCTAGGTCGGGAGTAATCATGGGCGTCCGGGAACGCAAACTGTCCGGGCTTCCTGTGTAGCGGATCATGTTTTCTGAAAAAGCACAAAATGGGACACAAATCCTTGAAGATGTTCTTCCAAGGTCTAAGTGGGGGGGTGGGGGGTGGGGAAATTGAAACGGCGAGGGAATCCTTGGTGCTGTCGGAGCTGGGTTGTTTTCTTGCAGACGTTTCATGACCCAACTAGGTAACATCATCAGTGCCAGAAGAGGCTTCTGCTGTATATAAACATAGAGCAAACCCCACTCCCTTCTAGCACTGATGATGTTACCTAGCTGGGTCATGAAACGTCTGCAAGAAAACAACCCAGCTCAGAGAGCACCAAGGACCCCTCATTTCTCCTCCTCCTCCTCCTCCCCCCTCCTCTCTCCCTTCTAGCACTGATGATGTTACCTAGTTGGATCATGAAATGTCTGCAAGAAAACAGCCCAGCTCAGAGAGCACCAAGGACCCCTCATTTCAACCCTAAGCTACCAATATTTTTCTTTATTGGATTTGAACTGGTTTTTCTAAGAGTAACTGGAGCAGTGTATTAAGGAATGAGTTGCTAGTCTAAAAACAACTGAAGTCCACTAGTCATAAAGGAGCCATTCAGCCATGATTGCTCAGGAATTCTGGGAGTTGAAGTCCACACATCAGAAAAGGGTCATGGTTCCCCACCCCTGGTCTAAACCATCTGGAAGGTCTATGTCAGGGGTAGGCAACCTTGACTCTTTTATGACGTGTGGTCTTCAACTCCCAGAATTCCTGAGCCATCATGGCTGGATG